CCGGAGACAAACACTGTACACAAATTAGTTCTATTTTCCAAAGAACCTTTCTGTTTGTAATGTTTTTTTTTTATTTTCGCCATTTTATTACCACCGTAGGATACCTTGCCATTTATGTGTATTCATTTAATGTGCATCTTTAACTGTTTTCTAACACACGAGGACTCTTTTCTATTAGACAGTTGATATTATTCATAATCAATATTCATATGCTAAAACAACGCATGAGATACTCACTTTTCAGCAAGCGCTTCTGTCGGGGAAAATGTAAGAATTTCTTCAGGGAATTCTTCAGACGGCTTCTGTTTCCCTTCCCGCGGTCCTTTTCATTTTATACCTTTCCAGGAGAGGACACGCCCCTCCTTCCTCCTGCCGCAGGAACCTCACGTCGCCTTCCGATGTACTCGAGTCACCTTCGAACAACCTACAAAACCGCAGAATTCCATCAAAGGGATTCTACATAATGGTGTAGATACGTGATCGTTTGTGTCAATGAGCCGTTAGTGTTTCGAAGTTCCGTGAGGTCTTGTTCGCTGGCTGATATGGACGTCTTGCGTGACCATCTCTAGCTAATGACCGATATTAGGGATGGTGATTGGAATAGACAGTGACTGAACACGTTAATTAAGAAATGGAAGCAGTTCAGAGACATCTTGTTTTTCTTTCTTTCCTTCTTTCTTTCTTTCTTCTATGGACCCCTATGGATAAATGGATAAATTAAATGGTGGTGAAAGCTGCGGAATAAAAGTTTTCTTTTGCTTTTTTTAAATTGGTCTTTTAAGTGTGACGTTCATCCTGTTCTTTTTCTCTATATCATCATCGTCATCATCATTATCATCATTATCACCATTATTGTCATCATCATTATCATCATCATCGTCATCATTAAGAAATGGAAGTAGTTCAGAGACATTTTTAAAGGGTGCTGGACACTAAAGGAAGTGAAGAAGCTACTCATTTTTCGTGGTGGATGACGATCGCGAAAGAAATAATGGTCTTTTCGGACCGACATACCATTCCGTACAAAGAGTTCAACCACCAAATATGTCACCCTCCATCGCGCAAGACACTTGATCTTCCGCTCACCCTCTTATGGACGTATCCGACCAATCGTGAAAGTTGCAGGTCATGTCCTGTGCCTCGTGATATTCTGTAGGGGTGTTTCTGTAGCCAGGTTTCCATTTCAACGAGGGCGGGACTCAGAGAAGCATCTTTTCTTTGTAAAAATGTAAATGCTGTATCAAAATAGTGTGTAAATTTGTAATTTTGAGTCATAGAAATCGTTTCTTATGTTTTATCATTGGTTTAGTCGGGATGGTGTTTTCTATGCAGTGGCTAGTGATGGAAGGTGGGGGTAATATAAGCACGAGAAAAAAGTTTTGATCATGGCCGTTTTGCTGTCGAATTTTTTATCATACCTTTGTCTTTACTTAGAAATCCTTTACCTATTCGGTTACGTACTCTTGCCCTAACCATAACCCTTCTGTCACTCATATTCCAGTTGTAAAGACGAAAAGGGTGTTTACCTCTGACGTCACAACTCGCACCAGTCCGAATCTATTCCAGGAGGAGGCTTCAGATATCCAGGAACGGAAGCCAAGCGGCATTTTGTTATCCGACTCAGAAAGACTCGACAGAACACTTGCGAACACTTTAATATAGGTCTAAAGCCAGCCAACGCACGCCTTGTGGTGTCTGTTTGTCGCCTGATCGCCGTTGTTAAAATTGCCAACTTTTCAAATATTTTCATAAATTATTCGTGTTTGTGAAGCTCAGCAGAATAGCCCGCATTCTTGCTGATAGAATGCACTGATGCTGGTTCAATTCGTGTTTATCATCAACCAGGAAGAAATTTTATTATATCATATACATATATGTATGTGTGTGTGTGCGTGTGTGTTTGTGTGTGTGTGTGTTTACAGAAAGAGTAGGTGTATTTACAGAAAGAGTACTTGATGAATATCATGTAAGATTCTCCAAATAGATATAAAATCTCACTGAACTGAAATGAAAAAATAAACGAGACGGTCGGGAAGCAAAACTTTTGTCGAAAAATCACTAAATAAGAAATAGGAGATAAAAATCTTTTGTGTTGCGAGCCCAATATAAATGAAATCAAGTAATGATATTCATGACTTTGGTAAATGACGGTGCATAAAACAAGATAGGCAAGGATGCACAACGCTTACAAATGCAGCCATATAAGGCACAAACACCCTTGTGCTAGACCTTGCGTGTAATCAATGATATTGGGAATAAAATCAGCCATAGAAACCCCATTTCCTCTCAGTATATTTTAAGCTTTTTACGCCTTTTCTTTAAAACACACGAATGATCCCAAAGAAATCAACGCAGATTAGCCAATCGCCAGAAGACAGACCCCCGCAAACGCATCCGAGCGACGGGATAATTCTCTCTCTCTATCTATCTATCTATCTATTTATCTCTCTCTCTCTCTCACTCCCTTCCTCTCCTTCCCTTCCTCTCCCTCCTTTCCTCT